GGTTGGGACACCAGAATTGTTGGGATAGTGCCTCGGTGCTTGTTCCAATCTATAATCATTTACTACAAGGGTTAATAGAAAAAGAAAACAGTTTCTTTCCCTGAAACATGGTTGTTTTGAAGGCCTCCATCCCTGGAAAAATTACAGCCCCAAAAGGAAACTTCAGAGAAACAAGGAGCCAGGAAAAAAGGAAAAAAACCCCAAACCCCTCAAGCTGCTGCTTCAGCTTGTGCTGCCTGGGCACCGAGACCCTGTGTCCATCCCAGGCAGGGGACACTCCCAGGCACAGGAGCGGGGTGGGACGTGCCCCTCGGCAGGTGCCCGGCGGGGGACGCCACGCGTGGGGCTGCGCCTGCTGCCAGCCCCCCCAAGGGGCGGCCGCCGCTCCGCAATGCTGCTGTTTGTTTGTTTTTTCCAGCTTTAACAAGGATCTTTTGTTAGCTCTGGGTTTGAAGCATTTTATGCTTAACCAACAAGCCTGGAGCCCGAGTGGCTGCGGATGAATTATGCCGGGAGATTTTCTGCCGGCCCCACGGTACCCGCAATGGCAGCTGCGGCTGCGACGGACCCTTTGGGCGCAGGTCGGTACCGCAGCCGCAGCGAGACCTGGAAAAGAGACTCATCTGGTGATGGGAGGGCAGATGGGGGCCGCTCCCAAGCTCACCCACCCGCGCACGCTTTATCCGGCTTTTCCCTGCATCCCGCACCGCTCCCAGCACACGACCCCGGCCCTGCTCTTCATCTCCTGCTCCTGGCTGCAGCAGCACCCTGCAACTGCAGTCCTGGTAAGCAGATCCCATCTCACTATCACCATTTCCCGCCCAAAATTATTGCTGACAAACCTTCACCCTGTCCTTCAGTACCCTGAAGGTACTGCAATAACAGCCCCAAATGATCCCAGCATAAAAATCAGGAGGAGGTTTCTAATCATGAAAGAAATGAGATTTTGCAGTCTGTATTCTTGCTCGGGGGGGTTAATCAAAACCTAGCTGTGGGATTTGGTTAGTTTATAAAAGGACACACACGTGGTCATGCCCTTGCCTGTGCCGGTGGCAGACAGGACCCATGGGGCCATGGAGCATCTCCAGGTGATGTCCCAGGGCCAGCCGGAGCTGCCTGCCGGGTCCTGCCCTCCCCAGCCCCTCTCCTCCCCCCCGTGCCAGGGGGTGCACCCCACAGCCGAGCCGATGGCCCCTGGCTTGAGCACCCACCTACATGCTGAGCCCTCCTAATTACGGATTTGAACCGAGCCCTCGCGAGGGAGCGATGTCGCCGTCTGAGCCCTGTGAACACTCACGTTATAATGAGCTGCACATCAGGCTGGAGGAGCTGAGGAAGAGTTCTCTGCCAGGCTCCCTGGCCTGTCGTGCTCTGTAGTAATTTGATCGGGACTGTGGGCTCTCGCCAGCTTACGTTATTAGGAGTAGTCTTTCCGGCTGAAGAGATGGGGAAAAACAAAAAAGGAGCAAAGGAAGCATTTCACGTTACGTGCAGTGAGCCTTATGCATGAACCGTGCGATTCAGCTAGTGCTCCCCCACCGCTAACAGCAGAGCACAGCTATGAAGAAATCAGCTTTTCACTCGGTGCTCCCTGTCAGAAGAATGATTTTCTTCTTCGGTAAAAGAAGAAAGGCCAAGACTGTCAAATGCACAGAGCTCCAATAAATCCTGCTGTGGGGAAGGTGCTTGGGGGACTCCTTTTCCATCCCTGCCCCCGTCAGTGGACAGTGCAGGGGCTTAAAGGGCACCGGCGATTCCCAGGGCTGGAAGAAAGATGCAGTGGTTTAGGGGGATGGAGGGGCCGGGCACCCCATGTCCAGCTGCCCCTCGGGGGAGCCGTGGAGCGCTGCGTGCCGCTGCTGGGGACCGCTCCTGCTGCTGTAAACGGGGTCTCAGGCCCCACGCCGCGGTGCTGAACGGGGAACAGAAAGGCAGGACCGTGCTCGGCAGGGACGGTGCCCAGCTGGGCGCTTGCTCTGGGGCCCGGAGCCAGCGCATGGCACAGACCTGCTCCGAGCCTGCAAAGCCGGAGCTGGGGACAACGGGGGAGATGGTCTGTCAGGGAGACCTCCTGGACAACCAGGACACAAATACTCTGATGATAATGGTCGGCTGTGAAGCCATGGGGCGTGCCTGCAAAGCTCAGCACCCTTGAACTAGGGCTGGGATGGTACAAAATAATTACAGAAAGGATACTCAGAAGAATACAGCAATTAGCGGCCTGAAAAAGGGTGTAGGCGAGAACACTCCCCGTCATTCAGCTGAAGACCCTCACAGACACTAGAGCCGAATTCATTCATCTTAAACTGCTGGAGCGGTTCCAGTCTCGCACGCCATTCCTGGTCTTCTTTCCACCACTAAAATATTACCTAATGGGTCTCCTCAAAAGGCTGATGCACTCTACCCAAAAAGTAGCTACGCATCAGGGGTGGCTGCAGATTTATTCATGGTAAGCTTATGCAATCCTGCGTGCGTTTATTTCAAAGGCTGCCCGGAGTCAGTGCAAGTGTCCTAGCAATAAAGGCACAAAAATCAAGGGTGCAGGAGCGTTAGAGGAAGCTCAGGCAGGGCAGCAGCCTGAGACAGGGGTCTCAGGAAACCAGCCCCTGGCCAGGTGACCCCCCCGCTGCCCGCTGACATTCCCACAGCCACTTGGCAGTGCCCCCAGCCCTTTTATTTGGGCAGGGTGAAGCAGCAGAAAGGAAGCAGCACGCTGAATAAAATTCAAAGACAGAGTTTGGAGGAAGGAAAGCTCCAAAGGCTGCTGCTGTTTCCTGGCAGGGACAAGGGGCTGGGGGGGCACAGTGCCCCCTCCCCGCGGCTGGCTGGTGCTCAGCACCCGCATGCAGAGCTGAGCAATGTGGGGACCCGGCAAAGAGCCGCCCAGGGTTACGCCCAGAGCCCTGCGTGTGCTGCTGTGAGCGATGGCCAAGGGGACTGAAGGGATTCAGCTACAGGGGGCGAGCTCCTTGGTCGTGCATGTGCCTGAGGACAAACACCAGCGAGCGGCGCGAGCCAGAGCACCTCAGCTTCCCGCGGGCTGCATCCATGAGATAGCTTCCTTGGTGCTCGAGGGGCTCTTCCGCCCCTGCGCATCCCTTTCAACGCTGACTCTTCTCGCGACGCTGGGACTAGAGATCAAGAAGCTCCTGCTTGCTGCTCTTTTCCAGCCCTGTTATTAGGTAAAAAAAAAAAAAAAAAAAAAAACCAAAAAAAAACAAAGGGGGTGATTT